AGCTCGGGAGGCGGAGGTTGCAGTGAGCCGAGGTTGTGCCACTGCACTCCAGCCTGGGCAAAAGACTCCATTTCAAAAAACAAAAAGGAAAAAGGAAGAGGCCAGGCGCGGTCCCCAGAAGGTATCGTGTCAACGTCCGAAAGAAAACCCAAGTTCAGCCTTTTTTTGTGTGCAGCCAGGCACACGCTGGACCACAGCCACCCACTGTGTGTTCCAGAGACTTCGCTGGGACTCCGAAAGGCAGAAGTGAAGGCCTCCTCCCAGAATCCCGTTTCTGAAGTCGGATTTGCCTTTTCTGCTTAAGCCATTTGACCTTCTAAATGCCAGGAAAACAGACACAGAGCTCGTTGGCTGGGGAAGGTCTAAAACTCCCCACCTCAAAACCCCAAGCTCTTAGTCAGCTGTGTGGGGAGTTTTTCTGAAACCTCCACTATCAGGTCCCTAAGGTGGGAGAATACCTCCTTGGAAGGGAATTTTTTTTTTTTTTTCAAGATGTTGCCTCACTCTGTTGCCCAGGCTGGGGCGCAGTGGCATGATCTTGGCTCACTGCAAGCTCCGCCTCCCGGGTTCAAGCGATTCTCTGGCCTCAGCCTCCTGAGTAGCTGGGACTACAGGCACGCCCCAGCACGCCCGGATAATTTTTGTATTTTCAGTAGAGATGGGGTTTTGCCATGTTGGCCAGGCTGGTCTTGAATACGTGACCTCAGGTGATCCGCTCTCCTCCGCCTCCCACAGTGCTGGGATTGCAGGGATGAGCCACCCGCAGCTGGTCAGCACATCCCAGTTCAGACCAGCCATACTGTAAGGCCTCCACGGCCACAGGTGGTCAGCTCGGCTCCAGAGTTAAAAGAGAAAAGTCAACCTGTTGAAAGAGAGGGCGCTGGGAAGGGTGCAGTGGAGCGGGTGTTGCCTGAGGTGGGTGCCTGAGTCATTCCTGGCGAAAGGGAAACACAAACACATCCGGGGGTCCGGAGGACAGGGACGTGGCATGCTGGGAGTTCACTTTCTTAGTCCTCACTCTGTAATCGGTAGATCTTCTCAGTGAGTTCTAATAAGCAGGTCCCTGACAACTGCGGTTAAGAACCTAGCTTCTGGAAGTTCTCAGGGCTGCAACTCTGCAACTCTGACAGCCCGGGGGCTCATCCAGCCCTCCTTCCTTTCCCTCTGTACATTTTTTTTTTTTTGAGACGGAGTCTTGCTCTGTCGACCAGGCTGGAGTGCAGTGGCGCCATCTCGGCTCACTGCAAGCTCCACCTCCCGGGTTCACACCATTCTCCTGCCTCAGTCTCCCTAGTAGCTGGGACTAAAGGCGCCCGCCACCACGCCTGGCTAATTGTTTTGTATTTTCAGTAGAGACGGAGTTTCACCGTGTTAGCCAGGATGGTCTCGATCTCCTGACCTCGTGATCTGCCCGCCCTGGCCTCCCAAAGTGCTGGGATTACAGGCTTGAGTCACCGCGCCCGGCCTTTTTTTTTTTTGACAGTCTTGCTCTGTCGCCCAGGCTAGAGTGCAGTGGTACAATCTCAGCTCACTGCAAGTTCTGCCTTCCCTGGTTCACGCCATTCTCTTGCCTCAGCCTCCCGAGTAGCTGGGACTACAGGCACCTGCCACCACGCCCAGTTAATTTTTTGTATTTTTAGTAGAGACAGGGTTTCACCGTGTTAGCCAGGATGGTCTTGATCTCCTGACCTCGTGATCCGCCCACCTCGGCC